CAGCCACGGTTCCCTTTCCCCAGGACAGGCCAGAGTCAGCAGCTTCCGATTCTGCCGCGAAGGAGCCAACTCCGCCGGCTACTCCAGCGCAAGCAGTCAAGTCAAGTCCGCTCACGGCACCCCTACCGAGCTCGCCACCTCGGGCTACTACGGCCATCGCCAACCAACCTCCGCCTCGAGACACCACCACTGCTGCTTCTCGGCGGGAACTTGTGACTCCGGACCACACAGCAAGGACGCTGTCGACCTCGGACCATAGCAATGCTGTGGACCCAGGCTCTGGCCCAGGGTCCTCTACTCCGTCTCTGGCCAGTTCTCGGGTCTCTGACAATCCCTCGGATGGTTCCCCGTCCTCGGTCTTCCCCATCTTCCGTCATCCTCAACACTCTCCTCCTCCTGACCGTACTACGGGTAAACGAAGGAAGAAGAAGCCATTGGCCAGCCGTGGAGCCTCCCGCTCCACGGCAGGGCCATGAGAGGCCCTCGATCGTCTGCCGCTCGGTCACGGCGTGCAGGCAGAAGATCTCGACTCAGTGGCCCCTCGACTGATGTCCCCCATGCATCAGTAGAGGAATTTTTACGTTCTCTTCCCGCCGGCGATTTCTTCGGTGATGATCACAGATGTCACCGTTCTGCACTGACCCGCCTGATCTTCCAAAATGTCAATGGCCTCCCGGCCGTGTCGACAGGGCGGAAACAGTTACAGATTAATCAGTGGCTGAAAGATGAACAAGTGGGAATTGCGTTGTTGGCCGAGACCAACACGCACTGGCCTTCTCTACCTGAAGGTCATAACTGGAATGATAGGATGCGGCAAGTCGGGCCCAAGGGGTACTATTCGGCGACGGCACATAATGAGAACCGCGCCCGGCCAATTGCATCTTGCTCTCAGTATGGAGGATGCGTCGCCACTGTCTTGAATTCGGTGGCACATCGAGCCAAGTCATGTGGTAGGGACCCGTCCAAGTTGGGAAGGTGGGCGTACGTGCGCCTTCGAGGCAAGAAGTTTGATATGCCATCCTCGGATAACCAAGTCAACGAGGCTGCCGATGCGTCACGTAGCCGGTTCTCTAAAGACTTGGTGGTGGTCTCCGCATACCGGCCAAACCCCCCGGGTAAGGGCGAATCTACGGTATGGGCGCAACACCGCAGCTTCTTCCGCTCTCAGGGCAGACAGCGTGATCCAAGGGAGGCGTTTATGGTGGATCTTTTACATGCGATAACTCAATGGCGCGACGAGGGGTGTGAAGTGATTGTGGGCGTGGATGCTAATGAGAATGTCTCCTCATACCAGGATTCCTCCTTTCGCCAGCGACTTCGCAGCATAGGATTGGAGGAAGCAATTCTACAACGTCATCCAAGTCGAACTGCAGCAACTCAGCATCGCAACAAACGTGGCAGACCCATTGATGGGATTTTCGCAACCTCCGGAGTGGTGATTAAAGCGGGTGGCTACTACAACTTTGATGAATTTTTCGCCTGTGATCATCGCGGTCTATGGATTGATATTGATTTGGAACGGACTCTTGGCAGCTATCGTCCGGAGAAGACACCATACAAGCCTCGCAAATTAACAATGCTTGACACTGCGGCTGTTCGACGCTATCTCCGGCTGGTCCACCAAGGCTATGACGTGTACTCCATTCCATCGCGGTTGGAGCAGCTTCATAGACAATTAACATTAAACAGTGGGATTATGACTGAGAAGATGGGACGCCAGTATAACTGTTTACACAAGCAGATGTACGATATTCGTCGGAAAGCGGAAGCGAGGTGTCGAAGGGTTACAAATGGGGCTGTTCCGTGGTCTCCTCAGATCCAAAACTTTTGGGACCGCCAGTCCCTCTGGAAGCTACTGC